CCAGTAGTTTTGTTAGACTCTTCTGCTGCAAAGAAGTGGTTATCTTCTGTTCTAGGAGGAATTGTAGGCTGTGGTGATCAGTTTTGATGATGAAATGTCTACCTAACAAATAAGATCTCCACTTATCAACATCATTGATAATAGAGAGGTATTCCTTCTCATAAATGGAAAGGCCCAAGTGTCTTGGCCTAAAAGCCTTATTGAAAAATGCTACTGGCCTGCCCTCTTGCATTAGGACAGCCCCCATCCCCTTATGGCTTGCATCTTCTTCAATGACAAATTCTTTTTGAAAATTTGGTAGAGCTAGGACAGGTGAATTACATAGGGCAAATTTCAGTTGCTCAAAAGCATTTTTAGCTTCCTTATTCCAACAAAAGCCATCTTTTTTCAGCAAGTCAGATATAGGCTTGCTAATAATCCCAAAAGCCGTAATGAATCTTCTGTAATACCCTGCCAAGCCCAAGAATCCTCTGAGAGCTTTAACAGTCAAAGGTCTAGGCCAGGCTGCCACTCATCAAGTTTGGTTGGATCAGTTTGCAACCCATTTTGAGAGATCAAGTGGCCTAAGTACTCCACCTGAGGTTGACCAAAGAAGCATTTGTTGAGCTTGGCAAATAGCTGAGGCTGCCTCATAATAAGCAAGACTTCCCTTAAATGCTGCCAATGGTCCTCCAACTTTCTGCTATATACAAGTATATCATCAAAGAAGACCAACACTGTCTTTCTCAATAATGGTTTGAAGACTGAGTTCATCAATGCCTGAAAGGTAGCTGGGGCATTGGGGAGCCCAAATGGCATTACCCTAAACTCATATAACCCTTGGTGAGTTCTGAAAGCTGTCTTATACTCATCCCCCACCTTCATCCTCACCTGATGGTATCCAAATCTCAGGTCTAACTTAGAAAAACAAGTTACCCCAGCCAGTTCTGAGAAGAGGTCTTCCACAAGGGGTATAGGAAACTTGTTCTTAATGGTGATACTGTTGAGGGCTCTATAATCTATGCAAACTCTCCAAGTGTTGTCCTTCTTAGGGACCAACAACACTGGGGAGGCAAAGCATGAAGTGCTTGGGGTGATGATCCCAGCTGTCAACATTTCATCTATCATCTTCTCAATGGTATTTTTCTGGGTGTGGGAGTATCTATAGGGCCCTATATTAACAGGTTTGGCTCCAAGAATGAGGTGAATTGTATGATCTAATACTCTGGTTGGTGGAAGGGAGGAAGGTTCTTGGAAAAGCTCCTGGAATTCCTGCAGTAGTGCAGAGAGCTCAAGAGAAGTAGGATGTGTTTCTGTGTGGTGGAGGGTGGAATGGTCATTCAATTGGGAAGTTGTCCACCCACTGCATTGGACTAGAAAGCCCTGAACTCCTTCCTTATGCCATCTCTTAACCTGTTTGTCCCCTACTGCTTTCAACAACACATTCCTAATCAGCCCTTTCAAGAAAATTTTCCTTCCTTCTTTATGGAAGGATATACCAGGGGGGGCTGGTATGGAGCTGAATTGGGGCATATTGGTCCACCCAATCCATCCCCAATACCATGTCATAGCCTCCTAACCTTAGCAATCTAAAATTTTTCACAGGCTGTTCTTGTTGAATCTGCCAACACAGTCCATGGCATATTGAATCACTTAGGATCTTTTCCCCATTAGCAACTGTGACCATTAATGGGGTGGCCTTTATAGGATCCTTTCTCAGTTGGCATAGGAGCTTGGGGTCCACAAAGCTGTGGGTACTCCCATTGTCAATCAAGATGACCACTGGTTACTTCTGCACACAACCCAAAAGTTTAAGGGTACACTTGCACACATTGTCACTTTAGCCTAACAATGTAGGTGTCCCCAAACCATTTACACACAACCCCAGCAAAATCCACCCACTCAAATCATACTCTCAACCCGTGTACATAACTGTCAAACCAGGTTCCTACTCTACCAGTTAATGCACATAGAGTAGATTGAGAATCTCATGTATAGGGATGTGTGAGAGCATGAAAAACTTTTCACAATGAATTATCCATTGTCTGGGATTGGCATAATCAAAGGAAGGAAATTCGTTTTTATACCTCATCAGAAATTCTTGGTGCTGCCCACCTACTCCTGGCATGTGCCTCTCCATTCCCTCCCCTCTGGGAGTTCAATCTCTCAGTCTTCGTTCTCCATGAATCAAGGCCCTGGGAGTAGCCATCCGGGGATCCGGATCCATCTCTTCATCATCCACCATGGGAGCCTTGTCTGGCCTCCTTTCAGTGGTGGCTCTGGGCTCTTCATGTACCTGCCCTTGCACGGAGGATTGCCCCGGTGATAGCCCCATCACAGGGGGTGCCGGTCGATTCAACCGGAGTAGATTCAGCAGTTCTTCCCTCAAACTTCCGAACTGGTCCGAGAGTTCAATAACCGATGAATCCACCTTGCCATTGAGCTCGATGAACGCTGCTTCCAGTTGCTTGATACGATCATCCATGGGCTCTGATACCAATTGCAGCGATCTCAGACAGTAAACAAGAAATTGGGTAGGGAAATTTGAAGAAATTGAGAGTTTGGGGTGAAGAAGGAAGAAGATTAAGAGAGAAAAAGTGTTTGGTATTCAATTCGATAACCTCCTGCTCATCCTTCTTTGGCTAAAATACAACCAATCTGAAATCTCAAAACTAATATCCCAATACATCGGGGAGGAAAAACAGATGAAGTTACTGGAATAAACAACTACATCAACGGCTACTGCCCTAAACGGTGTCGTCTGACCATAGTTCATCTGCCACCAACGGTCAACATGAAGCGACGTCGTCTGGCTTTTATTTGCAACGGCTCTAACGTCTATTTAAATGAAACGGTGTCGTATGGATCCACCTCTTCCATTTGATTCAGCGATAGACAATCATCCAGATCCTTTCCCTTCTTCTTTCTTCCTTTCACTTCTGCTGCAACCTTCCATGCCCGTAACATTATCTTGCATATGTTTAGATTGTTGATCTTGAGCATGAGTGGCTAAATTCTAGAGATTAGGATTATTCTGTATATTGCATTTGTGATGATTAGCTTGATTTGATTTGTGATATTGTGGTGATTGAGTGTTGTTGGCTTGAATGTCTTGTTGGAAGATAAATGTTTATAATGACTCTTGTGTGTGATTGCAACACATGCTTGTAGGTTTAGTAAGGATTATGTTGTCAAGAGACTGAGACATAATCCTAGACTCCTTCTCTTGCAATTCCCATCCTAGACCCGAGAAGGCAAGGTCCGGAAATGAATGTAGGCAAGGTGTTTGTTAAAATGCCCCATAGAAGAAATGAGCATCTGGGTGTCATATCTACCTACAGGAGGCATATAGACCGAAATGGCTACGCACTAGCAAGCCATTCCTCTTGACTTGTGTCTCAACATGCAATCACCACTACCACCTGTATTGCGAGATTAGCTAATCACACATTGCAATTAGCACACACAATCCTAATCCTCTTTTCTTTCTTTTGATTTATTTTCACGTGTGCCTTTCTTATTTTCCTTTGCAACCACTACTTGTTTAATGCCACTTCTTGATTCAAGCATCTATAAGCCCAAAAATCCTCACCAAATCACTCACTCAACACTTCCAATTTATCACTCCTTAGAGTACGACACTCGGGGTGGTTCTCGCTCCCCGTTTTATTCTCATCTACACCTTACATCCTTACACGACCCTTGCACATCAAAATCTTTTGACAACGCTTTATAAAAGAGAACCGTAAACGAAAAAGCATTCTGTCAGCTGCCAAAACTGACGGAGTAACTTCCTAATATGAGAAAAGGAAATTACTTGGCCCACAAGGAAAGAATCTCCGCCAAATCTGCCCTTAACCGCCTCTAGAATGCGCACCCGGTCGGGGACACACCGACTGCGGAGCCTGGTCGCTCATCCGAGCCAATTAGGGACCTGGTCGAGGACACACCAACTGTTGAGCCTGGTCGCCCATCCGAGCCAGTTAGAGGATTGCTCAAATACCTGCACTATCGTCACTTGTAACAGAGGTTTCTCCCCTTAAACTGCTAAGTGTTCTAGGCATCCTGGACCGACTGCCTACCTCGCGTCTAACTGGGTACCCGATTAGGGGGTATCTATCAACCCTCTTCATCAACTGAAGAAGGTACTGGTCGATTTAAATTTTCTAAGTGCGAAAAAGCTCTCAAAAGTCAAGTTCTTATGACCAGTGTTGAAAAGAGAAGAGAGACCAAAAGCTTCAAAGTTTACATCAAATATTAAGGAAGTCTTGTGCTGCTTCAAGTGCGACAATCTAGATCTACTCAAGCCAAGTCATCTAGTTGGAGAAGAATAAACTTTATTTCTTCAACATTTGTAATCTCTACTTGGAGAAGTAGAAAGAGGCGGAGTAAACTCAGGAGTTGAAAAACCTGGTGTAACAGTTCACCATCGGCTTTGTGTTTAAGGGGTGATCTGTTGTGGATTTTGTACTAAGAGGGTTTAGTGCAAACCTTCACGTATTATGAAGAAGAGTGGAATAGGCTTCGTTAACAGTCGAACAACTATAAAAACTCTCTCTCTCTCTCTCCCTCTCTCCCTCCCTCCCCCTCCCTCTCCCCCCCTCTCTCTCTCTCTCTCTCTCTCTCTCTCTCTCTCTCTCTCTCTCTCCTTTATTTTGCATATTATCACAAACCAAACCTAACGTTTTATCAAGAAAAACTTAACATATAAAGAACGTCTAAAAGGGTATAACAATTACTTTCGCATCGCATTAAATAACATAAAATGGAAGAAATAAGGAAAAAAAATCCAAATAAACAATATCAAATATTAACATGAAAATAACTCGCAAAAAAAAGTGGGGGAATAATTGCTTGAATTTTTTGAATTGAAGTATGTAACTGAAAGTGTTTGAAGTACAAATGTTTAATTGCAAAATCTAAGTATAATTTGATGGCTTATTAGAGAGTACATTGTACATACAGTTACTCCTCGTAATCTTGCTCATATCCAGCGTGGCTTTGAATATGTGCGAGTTATAAAACAGGAAAGGAATCCAAATGAAATTGAAAGAACCTCGGAAACGACATCAGCATAGCAGTGCAGTGCAGTGCAGTGCAGAGGAAAACCTGAGTGAGTGTGACGAATTGAAGAATGTACAAGTCGAAGCTGCAAGAGTTGTGCCAACGCTACTTGGTGGCGTTGCCGGAGTACACCTCGGTGAAGGTCGGTCCCGATCACGACGCACGATTCACCGCCACCGTCACCGTAATTGGAATTTCTTTTCAGTCGCCGCCGAATCAGTGCCGCTCCGCTAAGGATGCTCAGAACCTCGCCTCTCGCTTTGCCTTTGAGTATTTTACTGCCAATCCGCCCGCGCTTCACTCTGCCCATCCCCAGCAATTGGCAACTAGGCCGCCAGATCCGGTTGTCGCCCCCGTTCTTCAGTCTCTGTCCCCGCCTTTACAACCATCTCCGGTTCACCTCGTCGCCGATTCGTCCCTTCCCCCCCCTCAATTCGGACAAATCCCAAGTCAGTTTTTTTTTTTTTTTTTTTTTTTTTTACCTTATTTTTATTTCTCATTACATAAATCAAAACTTAAAAAAGTTAGGGCATGCTATGATGTTAAGAATGAAGTTAACTTGTTCAATTAGGAGAAACAATTTGCTTTGCCTCTTTTTTTTTTTTTTTTTTTTTTTTTTTTTTTTTTGAATTAACACTTACACTGGAAATGTACAAGGTTATAAAAATGTATAGGCCTAGAGGTTTGATGTTTTATGCTTTATGCTTTTTATTTTGATATTTTGGTGGTTTTTCATTTTTTTTCACATGTAAACATTGAGAATATATATGTATTAGTAATTTAATTGATTAAGAATAAAATTAACTTGATTTATAAGGAGAAACATTTGCTCTGCTTCACAGATTCAGCTTGGCTTGCTGGCCCCCAACCTGTTTGTCCTCCTCTGCTGCAGCAAACCCCTCCATCTCTTCCACCAAAAAGCTTTACAGGTAAATTTTTTCTTTTTAATTTTATTCAATGCACACATTGAAAATGTTATAGTGTATACTTAACTCTATGTATATTATTGGGTTGATTAAGAATGAGATTAACTTTATAAATTAGGAGAAACAAATTTTGTTCACTTTTCCCCTTTCTTTCATGTGTGTATTTGAAGACTCAGTCTGTAGTTCACAAAATATTGGTGAAAAGATATTACTATGGGAAAGCTTATTTAAAAAGATAGAGTAATAAAATTGAGTGGCAGAAACATTATTTGAAAGTGGCATGGAAGAAGTTAACTTTCTGTGGCGAATTGGTTTATAAGTAGCAATTTGAATTGAAAAGGGAATAGCAACATTTCTTTTTGCAGAGGCTTCTACTCCAAACACAAAAGTAGGTCAAAGTAAAGAGAGCACTGCACAAGCATCTGCGGTGACTCCATTATACTCTACCAAACCTGCAAATCTGAAGGGGATGTACAAGTCAAAATTGCAAGAGCTATGCCGTAGGCAGTCATGGAATCAGCCTGAGTACAGAACGGTGAAAGAAGGCCCTGATCACAACCCTCGATTTGGTGCCACAGTCATTGTCAATGGAATTCCCTTCAAAACTCCAGATAACCATTGCCGTTCCTCCAAAGAAGCAACAAACCTTGCTGCCTGCATTGCCTTAGATCACTTTATTGGCTCCAAGCTAACTGTCCCCCAGCAATCCCATCTTCCACCAACTGTATCCTCATCTTCAGGTTATTGTTTTCTCATTAATTTCATTGTTTTCAAAAATACATCCCAGGTGAAGGAGGGAGGGAGGATGGAATAGGGCAATGTTTAACAAAGGTGTGATAATCACTGTGAATTTGCCATGGTTTTTTGTTGAAGAAGGGGGTTAAGGATACAGCACTACACTGATATGTAAATAGAATCCTAGATGTGTAATGGCTATTATTCATTGGTTCAAAACTAATGATTAAGTTATAACGAAATGGAAAATGGAGAAAGGAAAATAGAGGGTTTTCTGAAGTAAAATCTTCATAAAGTAAAGGCAGAATTGACATTTATGAATTGAAAAAATAAAAGAAGGAAATACAGTATTTGCAGATTTTGTGATATTTTCATTTGCTTTTTGCAGGCCATACTAAAAATGAAATTGCAGGTGGAAACAATGAACCGAATTCACAAACATCTGAGTTTGTTTCAACACCATTGGTTCCTAAAGAGATTTACAAATCTTCAGGTTTGCTTTTATCAGTACCTATGATTTGTATGCACTAAGTTTTGGCTTTAAGTTTTAATAACTTGTGAATTTGGTACTTATTTCTCTTGTAACTTGGTGCTGAATCTACTTCTACAGTTCTACTTTTCATTGCTGATTTTATTTCTATATATATATATATATATATATATATATATATATATATATATATATATATATATATATATATATATATTTGGATTGTGGGACACATTTTAATTGGGTTATAGGTGAATCAAGTTATTTTAGCTCTGTAACCTTTGTTAGGCAACGACTAGCTAATATGCTTTGTGAATGTTGGGACTGAAGGACTGATTGGATTTTATTATTTTCTTTCTACAGTTGTCTAAGGCTTGCTTCAATTACATTGCATGTTGCTTTACATTGTGGGGCACTTTTTAATGTCTACTTAACCTATGAAACACTTATCCGTGAGTTATCTAGTGACAAAACAGTGGCCCCTGCCCCTCCAAAGAGATTAAGAAATATGTGTACATATGCATGTGTATGTATATAGACAGTGCTTGCTAGAAGTAGTGCAAGAACTAAATGATAAGATGTTAAGTTAAGATAGAACAAGCTACAAACTATGCTTGGTCAATCACCGTGGAGTAGCTTGGATATAATTATGAAATTATTAAGGATTGGTTACTGCTATAATAATTAAATATTATTCGTAATTGTTAGAAGTAAACAGTTATAGAAGATGGGAAGGCATAGAAATAAATAGACTAGCAAGTGAAGAGTCTATAAAACTGTCCATTGTTGTAGTATATATATCTAGTTGTAGCAGTGAAGGAGAACACAGAAAATAGAACAAACACATTGGTTGGTATCCTCTCTTTCTTTCTACAGTAATTTACCCATTTAGTTGGCCCTACACACTCTATGTTATTTGCTTCAGCGGAAGATGTTATTTCCATTGAAGCCATTTCATTAAAGAGTTTCTGTTTGGACATGACAAAAGGTGTCCTCCTTTGTCATGTCCCATATGCTTGAACTGATTTTTTGCAACATCTTTTCATGAATTCCCAACTAAAGAGGCTGGAAACGTTTGTGTCTGTTGTAAAATATTAAATATTTTCCCATCTATCATAATAACAAATTAGAAAAAGGATCTCTTTCAGTATTTATTATATAATTAATCGAATTTTTCATGTTTTGCTTTCTTAGACATACAGTATATGTACAAGAACCAGCTGCAGCAATATGCTCAGAAGCAGAATATTACTTTACCTGAATATTCTTGTGAAATTGATGGGCCACCACATGCTCGTCGCTTTAGATCAAAAGTGGCTTTTGGTGGAAGAATTTTTGAAAGCCAAGAATTTTTCTCTACATTGAAGGAAGCTGAACAAGCAGCTGCAAAAATTGCTCTTGAGGCATTATCACCCCAAGAAATTCAAAAGGTAGTCAAGTCTCCTAAATTTATTTGCAGTAATTTTATTAGGCTATGGGTTCTATTGTATCTATTGGTTTCATGTTTCCTTTATAATTATATTGTCTGTTTCAAATGGATGTCAGGGTGCAGGTTTATACAAGACCCTTCTACAACAACTGGAACAAAAACAGGGTGGCCTGTTTCCAGTATACAAGACAATCCAGTCTGGTCCACCTCATGATCCAACTTTTGTGGCCACTGTGGTAGTTGGTGGTGAGACATACCAAGGACAAGTAGCTAAAAGCAAGAAGCAGGCTGAGATGAGTGCTGCAGAAATTGCTTATAATTCTCGTATGAAGAGTAAGTTAGAAACACTCCCTAGACTCACTGACACTGTCACACACAGGATGCACAAATATCACAAAATAAAAGTAGAGCCACGAAGGGACAAGAAATACAGAGCTATTCATAGCTCTGTATTTCTGACAATAGCCATAGGTGCATGCACATATTGGTTCAAAGAGGCCGAAAACATGAACTATTGTCCATCCACATCCTGTGTGTAATCTTGCATTCATTCTGTATGTTGTCAGGGAATTTGTTACTGCCTTGGTTGGGGTTGGCAGTTGGTAGTTGTTGGCGTTTGTTTAACATTCTTACTGTCTTTTGCTGGTAAAGTTGGAACTTTGTAGGTCATATTTAGATGGTAGTATGGTACATTATGGGGTGTTTGGTTCATGGGTTTACTCACTAGGAATGAGAATCAAAATCATAGGTTAGTGTTTGGTTGAGAACTTTTTAAAACACAACTATGGATTTGATTACCCCTTCAATGAAAAACCTCATTCTCTAATTAAAAACCGGTATCATTCCATCTTATTGGTAATATGATTTTTTAAGTTTGGATTAGTGCTTTTAGATTTTTGTTTTGATTTTTTTTTTATTCATATTGGTGCTTTGGATGTCATTATATTAGGATCAATTGCCTTGATTTTTTGTTTTTGTATTTTTAAAACATTTATTCTAATTATAGTGTCATAAATAACCAAACATCAATATTGGTAATCATTCCACTTCCCCCCTACTACCAAACATGCAAAATACTTTCACCAAAACCCATTCCATTACCAAATATTTGATTCCCATTCCCATTCCCCTAAGCAAACCAAACACACCCTTATAGTTTTGTATGTTGCATTTCCCTGTGTTCAATTTATGTGCTGTTTCTGTGCTAAGGAATGCTCATGTTGCATTTCCTTGTATTCTATTTCTGTGCTATTAAGTTGGCATGCTTAAATTGGGAAGGGATAGACATAGAAAGCGGAATATTTTGATATAAAAAACAATAAAGGACTGAGGCAACTCTCTGTTTTTCATTTTATCAGTTTATTTCATATTTCTGTTTTTTCGTTTTTCCGTTTTTTAATTTTTTAATTTTTCATTTCTTTGGAGAAAATATTTTTCTAATTTTTTATTTCTCTAGAAAAAAAAAAAAAAAGAAGAATTGGAAATGTTATTGCAAGGATTAAAATATACTGTAGTATTCTACTGTTCATCATTCTTTTTCCATTTCTCTAAATTTAAAAAATTAGTTAAATGAAGTTTCCAAATTTTAGAAAAATAGAGAGCAATTTGAAAAATGATTTTAAAAAATTATTATTTGGTTAACATATTCAGGATGACACGTGAATCATGCTTTTGTGATATATCCTACAATGGCTTTTCATGGCCGGCAGTAGATGGGAGTTCACCTTGTTGAATAAGTAAAGCAATTAACTCTTGGTCGGACTCCTGGAGGGAAATGGTTGGTTTGCTCGCCATGGAATGGAGGTTTTTTTTTTTTTTTTTTTTTTTTTTTTTTTTTTTTTTTTTATAAATTTTAATGGGTAAATTTCATGAGCAATGAATAACAATGAGCAACTTTTAAAATTTGAACAACAGAAGAAAAAACTCATTTGGAATTTGAGTTTCTGGTAAAAAACGTAAGTACTACTTGAGTTTGTCAAATTTTTGCGCATGTACAAGAATACATATGAGAAATGCAAGTTGTACTTGCATTTTTCTTATTTGTATTGTTGTTTTTCAGGCAAAAAAAAAAAAAAAAAAAAAAAACGAACTTCGCAAATTTGACAAACTCAAGTGATTTTGACCAAAAACTCATGTCACAAATGAGTTGTTTCTAATTTTGTCCAAATTTTAAAAGTTATCCATTTGTCCATTCATCATGAAATTTACCCATTTCAATTAAAAATCCTGGAATGGAAGGAGTATTCAGAGGGGTTATTCCATATATGTTAAATATTTTAATGCAGGAGATGACATTTGTAGCATAGCACCCATAACTTCCAAAATTGATTTGCAGGAATGCAGGATATCCATCTCTGTCTTGTGAGCTCAATTATGGTTGATCACTGCAAGAACGAGCTTGTGACCAATAGTTGTTGATCCAAACTGTAGTATGAATCTGTTCATGCTGCAAGAGTCAAGGGAGTACTGGTTCACTTACTGATGCATTAGAATAGTGTTTCACAACTGGACAAAGAGAGCTTTCTTCTACAACATTTCAAGACGATAATTTCCATGATCCATGCTTACAACTGATCACTACCCATTACGATTGGAAATAAACTTGAACCACTTCCCAAGCATGGTAGCATGGGCCTTGTAACCCAATCGAGAGCATTAATAAGGCGGTGGATCTCTTCCCTGGGACCGGATGACACCAAACGAGTAAGTAGACAAGCAAACGTATGTTCATTATCTTCGATGAACGGTACTTTTCTCATATTCTTTTATAATCTATGGTTTAAATGAATATGCTATGTCTTGCCGCATTTAATGTGTATCAAACATGCTACTCCTTATCTATAATGTATGTGCATAACTCAAATGAATTTGGTCATGAGAGAGGGAATTCAAATGCGTAATCCTAAGTGTTTTATCATATGTGTTTCCTTCCCCGGAATATCTTGCTCTATTATTGCTCACGAAGCCAAGTTGAATATGTTGCTTCTTCTAATTGTGCTAAGTTGAGCATAGACATTTCCTTTACTTTAATCAATATTTTGATTAGGCTCATAAAAGGAATTTGTCATTTCTCCCCTATTTTGTGTTTAAGTTAAAAAAATGTAATCCTAAATTTTAATGGGAGTTTTGCCCGGAAGGCAAATTAAAGTCATTGATTTTTCTTTGTCACCCCTTAAGTCATGATCTCATGATCTAATAATTGATTGGAAATTATACACTTATTATATGACAGTCCTTGAAGGATTGCTTGGCCTTGATCAACAAGTGGTTATAGTGCCTATCTTTGTTGGAAGATAAAATTCATAGCATTTAAAAAAAAAAAAAATCATAGCACTAATTATATGATAAAGACACTAGGACAATCTATGTAGCTCCAATAATGTAGAATTGTTTTGATACTAATTCAGAAGTCGATGATTATTTTGTCCAAAATTATATTTATGGTGTTAGTTTTATTATATAAATTATTTTACAAGTTTTAGGCATTAAAATTTATCTCATATCTTGGGATTTAAACAAAATGATAGTGCCTAATTTAAAATATAGTTTTGCCCAAAAGGTAACCCCTTAGACCAAGACCTTGATAATGAATATTTGTTTGAAAACGATCTATAGATCCTATATCAATCCCTGAAGGATTGCTATGATCAATAAATTGTCATAATCTTCCATTGGCTATTATACTCTACTGAACCTGCAAATTTGCAAGAGCTATGCCATAGGTAGTCATGGAATCAGCCTGAGTACAGAACGGTGAAAGAAGGCTCTGATCACAACCCTCGATTTGGTGTCACAATCATTGTCAATGGAATTCCTTTCAAAACTCCAGATAACCATTGCCGTTCTTCCAAAGAAGTAACAAACCTTGCTGCCTGCATTGCCTTAGACCACTTTACTAGCTCCAAGCTAACTGTCCCCCAGCAATCCCAGTTTCCACCAACCAAAGGTGTGATAACCACTGAGAATTTGCCATGGTTTTTTGTTGAAGAAGGGGGTTAAGGATACAGCACAACACTGATATGTAAATGGAATCCTAGATGTGTAATGGCTATTTTTCATTGGTTCAAAACTAAGGATTTAGTTAAACGAAATGGAGATAGGAAAATAGAGCCAAAATGGGTACTGGTAATTGTATTTTTAAATTGGAAAGCATAAAATGGAGAAATGAAAATAGTGAAATGAAGTAAATGCAGCGGGGAAAGTCAATATTAAAAGACAAATTTATTCAACCGAAAACATAGAAAACTGAATTCCAGGGTAGTAGATAATTTTGGGAAATTAAAAATTGACCAGTTCTGTATCCCAGGTACCTATTGCCTCCTACCCGGGGGCTGGGGCTGGTTCTGGAACATTTGATCATATCTATATAATCTGCATGAGTGCCATTATGTTTATTAATCTTTCTAAAACATCTTGGTTTACAGGGTTTTCTGAAGTGAAATCTTCATAAAGGCAGAATTGACATTTATGAATTGAAAAAAATAAAAATAAAAAGTACAGTATTTGCAGATTTTGTGATATTTTCATTTGCATATTGCAGGCCATACTAAAAATGAAATTGCAGGTCGAAACGGCAATTTATATTGTGGATTAGGGTCCACATAGCATTGGTAACCCTGGTTCAAAACGACATTGTTTGATGTTTGAGCTTTAACCGTCTCCATAACTACTTGTTTCTCATGTTTCAACTAGGGGTGGGGGTTTTAGGTTTCGGTTCGGTTTTTTTTTTTTTTTTTTTTTTTGATTTCGATTTCGGTTTTAAAAAAATTAAACCATTCGGTTTAACATTGGAGTTTGGTTCGGTTTGAAACAGTTCGGTTTCGGTTCAAATTTAATTCGGTTCGATATTCGGCTCGGTTTTAGATCCCCAAATTTTAACATTTTAACATTTTCTGAACATACTACCAAACAATACATATTCACATAGTCACATAATCCAAATCTAAAGTCTAAACATTATATAACAAAATAGCAATCCAAAGTTCAAATACAATACAAAGTACTAATTACCAAGCATCAGTTGATTTTTTTGCACAACTGACTCTTCAGTTGGTTCACTTGGAATAATTTATTGACGAGATGAATAATCATCTATCTTTATAGTTAATATTAGAAGAACAAGTGTCAAGTACTATATAGTAAATTTTTGGACACAATCCGTCATTGCTCAAGTTAGATATAATTGCGAGGTAAAGAACAATTGCGACAAACAACAAAAGTGCAAAGTAGAGAACAAGTTATAAAGAAATCAAATAAAAAATTTAAGGGTGTACCAGCGAGAATAGGAACTAAACGGCGGAGCTGGCATCAAAGACTTGGATTTACTTATTTTATTATTATTATTATTATTATTATTATTATTATTATTATTATTATTATTATTATTATTATTATTATTATCAATTGATTCGGTTCGGTTCGATTTTTGCCAAATCGTTCGGTTCGGTTCGCTTTTTAACCGAACTGTTCGGTTTACAAGAATCTCGAACCGTTCGGTTTTTTTATTACTAGTTTGGTTCGGGTAACTCGAACCGAATTGCCCACCCCTAGTTTCAACACTAATTTTAATTTATTTTAGGTATAGAATCCTTATGCTTAATGTATAGAATTGCATAACATGATGTACAGAAACACATAACACGAGAAACATACACATGTTTTCTATTTTCTTATTCTCAAACGTTGAACCCTAGTACGTTTTATCCTGGGAACCTAGGCTACAATGCTCCTAGCACTTTTGGGACGTAGCAAATAAGGTTTTAAGGAAAGAGTGTTTCGCTCGACTCGTACTAACCGATCTTCTTCTTCTTTTCTTCTTTCGGTTCAAGGGATTATGCTATTAAGCAATAAATCTTTTCTCCTTTATTGTTGATTATAAATTCCATTTTGGTTGATATATATATATATATATATATATATATATATATATATATATATATACACACACACACACACACAAATATATATAAATCAGACCCCACGGTTATATATATAACCTTATTTCTTTGATGAACAAGTCGATGGATTCCAAGAGTGTTGGAACCGTGAATGTTGCTTGTGGTGCACATTTAAATGGTCGGAACGGCAATGATGTTGCACATTCCGAGATGCCGGTTGACGACAGCAACGTTGGAGGATTATTGTAGTGTGAGCAACGACCTCAACCATAATCAGAGGAAAGGCACACAGAAGTTTAGTCCTGAAGATGATTATGAGGAGGAGGTGAGTAGCCACTATAAAACGAACCATCATCCTAGTGAAAAGGTTGATGACAACTTCGCTTTTGTTAAAAAATGTGGATGGTTGGACGAGTGAGGTCACAACCAAGGTACCCCCGATGTGCGTTAAGGGACCACCCTTCGTGGAGTGTACGGTTGAACAATGGAACATGGCACACGGGTTCGAAGGACTACTACATAGGAATAATGGAAATTAGTTTCCAATGTAATTTTCCTATTTATTTATTTGTTGAATAAATGTTGTAGTATCCTTGTAATATTTTTATTATTATTGAATAAAAATATAATTGTTCCATTGAGTTATTGAATTATAGTGTATACGAATTATTTGATGAAATAATGTTAAATGTATGAAATACAATATGGATGCCTAGTGTATCAAGTAGCATTATTTGGAAAATGCTAAAATGGCTTAACGGCCGAAACGGAATGTAACAAATGTGTTACATGTTGAAATCTCGTAAAGGACTTCGGTCATAGTTCATGTTGAACGATATAGATTTCAAGTAAGAATAAATTTGTCAAAAATTGGGATAGCTATATAATCGTGAGCGTCACAGCTCAAGTGTTGAATATCCTAAATAATATTCGTAGTACAATTATATAAGTTTGATTCAACTAGTCGAAAAATTTGGTTGATTTGATATTGTTAATTGTGTTTAAATTAACTTGATCAAAAATTCAAATTATATTAGTATGAAATGTAATTTGAGACAAGTTGTTGGGACATCAAAAATTAAGCCTAAGCTTAACGGAAAATGCTAATTGAATTTAGCATTGTTGAAGTGCTAATTGTAGTGCTTAATAGCACTGGACGTCCAAAATGTTGAATTAGCACTATGCAAAGGGCTAATTAAATTTAGCATTGTAAAGTGCTATGTGATTAGCACTTAAGGAGTTTGTTAACGTATGAATGGTACATGGCAGTACCTAATCACATTTGTGGTTAAGTTTTGTTTTGCTTAATCATGAAGTTGGATAACACCGGAATGTGCTTAAGGTAATTAGCAACTCTTTGTGCTCTTGAATTATAATGCAACCGGTTGGCGTTTTAAAAATTCACAGTACCGATTTGGTACTTTGCTAAGCACCGAATGATGCTTCAATTTCGGAAGCACTGATTCGTGGTTGTGGTTTCGGTCAATCCCGAATGGATTTGTAAAGGCTAATCTGTTCGATGTGGTGAACATGAAACACCTATTGGTGATTTCTGCACAAGCGTTGGTATCGTACTCAAGCGTACGGTACGGTATTCACCTCAATCGAATGTTGTTGCCGAACATAAGTATCAAGACGTTGATAAGTTCGGGTCTACCTCAAAGTGTGTGGGTGAGACAATACTTTGGACAAGTAAATACCTTTTAAATAAGGTTACCCGCATGAAACTCGATAAGGCTTCTTATGGGTTGTAAGTACATAGGAAGTTTTCTTACTAATACCTGAAATGTGGGGGTGTCTTGCCAAAGGCGTCTATTGGTACTTAGTACACGAGTCCTATAGTTTGGATGTACATAAGAACATGATAAATTGAATCAAGAAATTCATCGTTCTTTGAAGATGCACTTCTATGAAGGTTCAATAAAGAACCTTGCACATTGAAATGAACATTCAACGTAGCAGTGGTTGGAGGGTATGAAAGAAAACCCGAGCTCAAAGCTAGA